TATATATATATATATATATATATATATATATATATATGTATATTCCCCTTACACTGATTATTTACAAACATAATGGAGAGAAGAAGCACAGCCTTTATGAAGCAGAGAAATGATGTACCTGACTTTAACTGAATTAGCAGCATTCTACATTCTAACTCCAGCAGCAGAAACACAATCACTTTGATTTCCTTTGTGACTTTTTTCAAGGTGAATTTACATTTATCTCTAACATTATATTCAATTTCTGGAATAGAAAAGAACTTCTGGATACAGCCTTCTAGTCATTTTTTTGTTTTGTTTTGTTTTGTACATTAATTTCTGTATTTTATAATTTACAAGATCTTCAAATTCCAATATATTTGAATTTATAATAGTGGAAAAGTGTGGTTACCAAATCCTGATTTATTTATAATAAGTATGGCTCTTTTCTTTTGTAGGTTGTTCCCAATAGTTCTACACAGTATATTAAATAAGGGTATTATGGTAAATGTAAACCATTAAAATTTTGCATGTCCTTTGTTTTATCTTAAATTACTAATGACTTTAGTTTTTTCCCTTTTAAATATTCTGTATCCTGTTTCCAGGAGTTTATGCTCATTTACTACTTCCAGGAATATTTTCTCCCAAACTCTTTTGCTTTCAACATCACAAATGTTAGTATTTATATCAGTATCATTTTTGCTTTTTGTTTCAAAATTCCACAAATTTAGTTTTTTCCATATTAAGTAATATTTCATATCAAACCAGAATTTAAGCATTTTTCGATTTTTTTTGCAGAAGTTATTAGTATCACTAGCAAAATATTGACTCATAAATGTAATTCCTTGTAGATTATCCAAACTGTTTTCATTTTATTTAAACTGGTGAACAATACGCAGTCACACAAGACTGCGTATTGTGTGACAGAACAAGAAAATTGCTTTATTTTTTTATGCCTTCCCCATCAAAAACTTTTTAATAAATAAATTTACTTTCAGAATTTCAAGTAGTGCAGAACAGATTATGTGTTGACATTTAAAAATCTATAAAATTGGGTCACTTTTTGCTGAAAAGCTTTAAAGATTTAATGAACAAATATTTATTTTATCATTTTAATTGATTTACCAATTGAGCAGTCTTGGAGAAGAAAATTAAAATGTAGATTGGAATTTCTAATTTTCATAAAATAAAAAATATTGAATTATAATTAAAAAGGGGTACAAACATTATGTAAGATTTGTAAAAGTATTGCAGACTGTAAAATGATAAACTCTTAATGATAAACATTTTTAAAGACTTGGGACTATCCATGTAAAATATATATACATACATACACAGAGGATCAAGTAAAATAATTTACACTATAGCCTGCTTTAAGGATATAAAGGATGGGAGTTTTTCCGTACAACATCATGTAAATATCTACAACCTAAAAGGTGAAATTGACATGTTTGCTGCCATCTCCTCTCGGTTCTTTGATTGCTACTCATACCGCTTCTAACTTTGCATAAAATCAGAGAAACTGAGATGTCTGCTCAGAAATAAAAATTTAAATCCATGTCTTTGGAAAGACATACATTATTTTATTTTAAGCTGTATATAAAGTCCAAATATTGCTCTTTATTCTGTGCATCGGGTTCAATTTTTTAACAATGATCAGGGCACCTTCCAAGGAAAGTTTATGGACATGCCAATGTTGGCTTAAGATATGGTACTACAAGTTTTATTGTGCTTATACTTTGTAAATGAGGACTCATTTAAGAAAGGAGATTTCTTCAGTAAGAGTTACGCTTTAGGAATATTAAGATATTTTACAATTTCCTTCATATGAAACTGAACATTTAAAACCTGTTTTTTTCAATATTTTGCAAAGCAGTGTTGAAAAAAAAACTGTAATTTCTGTTTATTCACAATAACTATAGATTCCCTTTCAATCCAGCAGGGGGCAACAGTTTGTCCGTGATACCTCGAAAACGCCGAGAGAGGAAGCTGTAATCTCGCGTTACTTTGGTCCTTTGTGTTGAGACGACCGTCTCCAGTGAAGCTCCAGGCAATAAACTCCGCTTATAAACCATCCGAGCTATCGGTCGTACCTAAATCGAACCAGTCCACTGCTGTGGACATTTTCTACTCCACCTGTGCCTCATATTCAGGTGAGATCTGTCAATCATATTAGCCGTTAGCTCCCGCCGTTAGCATGTTAGCAGCATGCTAGCTCCGCATGCTCCATTTGAGTCCTATAACCTGCTTGCGCCAGATTCGTCCCGGTCCGTTTTGGTTTGGTTCGGAAATCACGATCAGTAGCGCGGGGATTGTACCAACACCTGTCTTCTAACTGGAACTGATGCTGTTTAGAGCCCGATGACACCGTTTTATGCCAGACGGTGGCCCGCTTAAAATCAGTAGGGAGGGGGAGGGTAACTGTGGGTAACTTAATGATGAGGTAAATCTAATTAGATCAATTGGTCAAATTAATGAACACAAAACGTCTTTTTATTCTTGTTGCGGAGGTCTATTAATGGCATAAGATCAAAGTGTTCTGAAACTCTTTGATCCCGTCACTAACCAATCAGCTTCCCTTTTCAGACCCTATTAATCGCCCGGACCTGTTTCCATGGCAGTGAGACGAGGACACATCAGGTACCTGAAGGTGAGGTCTCAGCTGATGGTATCTCTTTAACGTTTCCTTGGTGAAAGGAAATGTTCCTTCAGGTGTATTTCTAAATCCAGGGGTGCAGATACCAAAATCCTCTCTAGCTTTTCCATCCCAAGTTAGGCCCTCATTGTTATTTAGTGCAAAGATGGACAATTAACTAAGTCATCATCTCTCAGTGGCAAAGAGCAAACCTTTAATGTTTGTTGATGAAGGACTGGGTCAATATCCATCAGTCTCCCACTGGTTGGTAGCAGCTCCATGCAGGATGTCCAGGGGATGCATTGACTCCCTATGAAGCACAGTTTGCTGCTGCTGTTATGAATATACAAACCGTAAACCAGTAAAAAGCTGCAAAAATATGTGTGATGTAAACGCCAAAAGAAAAATGCTGCATGTTGCAGAAATGAGATGCAAACCTGCAGGTTAATGTTAAATGAATTGACAAAACACCTAAAAATGCAAAAAACACACAAACAAAAAAAACATACTTTCGCTAAAAAATAGAACATTTAATCACAAACAAAATGCTGTAATCACAGAAATAAAATCTGCAAATGG